AATGTAAAATAGCGAACTTGATGACAACTGAACTCTGCTCAGAGGGGCTGAAAAAGCCATGGCTGGAGGCAAGTTAACTCTTTCAGGGCAAGAGGCCATCTTGCAATGAATGGTCTAGGACTAATTCATTCCAAACAGCCTGGGCCATTCATTCGAATAAGAACCGGTAACGCTTATGCCCAATTTCATATGACGTAAAGGGAAAACAATGCAAGATTTTTTTATTTTTTGGAACTGACAACATCAATGAGACGTGTTCTAGGCTAAGATGCTGTTTGGTATTGAAACAACATTTGATCTCCCCGACCATAATCCCAACTCGAAAGCATTTTAGGCATTTATCATTTTTAATGACTATGGCAAATGCCAGATTTTGTCCTTTTGAAGATAAAATGCTACATTCAAAAAGCCATAGGATTTGCATATACAGCCAAGGCTGAGAAACACACCCCCAAGCTGCCCTTTGATTTTATGAGTCTGGCTGTGAGCAAGGTTTCCATCGTCGCTCGCTCTGCCAATGTCATTACTCTACAGCGGGGCTGCCAAAAGGCAGCCCGTGGCCAAGCTCGTGTGTCCGGTTTATTCAAGTGGCTCATTCTAGATGAGCTCTCTTGCCATCTCTTTACCCGGCTTGATGGACTATCATTAATAAAAGTGTATTGATCTCTGAATCTATTCCCAGCTATAAAAAAACCCTAATAAATGAGATGGCTGTGTGATCAATAAATAATACCTAACCAGAAAGAGTCCAAAAACTGTCAGAAGCACATGCTGTCCATTTTCTCAAAACCTTCCCTAACGGGAATCAGCGTTTTACAGCTAATGCCAGCCGTGGAGATCCGTGCAATGCCCTCATTTTAAAGAGGAAAAGGATCCATGAGACTGCACAGGTGACGCTGCCCGAGGACTAGAGAGCAGCAGGTCTCCTGTCTCCTGGCCAGCGGCGGTGCTGGCACCTGAGACACTCGAAAGCCCTCCCTGCAGGCTGGTTGCAAAGGGCTTCCGCTTTGCTGTATTTTCCTATTAACATTCCGAATGACTCAAATTCTGGTCTGCACAGAGAGGCCTGCATCCTTTTTAGGTATTCCTGAATTATGAAATGATGAGAATAGTAAAAGGTCTTCTTCAATCTCTCTGCCACCAGTGAGAAATGATTCCACATGCGCGTTGCCACGATGGACATGCCAGTTTATGGATCTGGCACGTTGCGTGGAACATTACAAATCCCTATGATGTCCTTAAGCTCCCTCTTCAGTTGAACTGAAAGATGGCTAAAAGCCCCATGGCTGGCTACTGGAGAATGCTCAAGCATACAGGTACTGCAGGTGAACTGGTGGTAACGTGGGCTGTTTTCCTGAGCAGCAGCAGCTTCACAGCAGCCTGCGTAGAGTTTATGGATAACGATGCCCCATCCTCTACTCAGATCTGCCTTTCTCCCCCATTCCCTGTTGGTAGTGAACAGATCATACACATTTCTGATTGCTTAGGATAAGAGATCAAAATCCATGCAATGAGAGAAATGGCCAAGGAGCAGGCCCTGTCCAGTGTGGGGTTCGCCTAAATTTGGACTCAGCTGGGGCTGAGCATAAGCTTCATTATCATATCAGATCAGCAGGGCAGCCAAAGAGTCTCAAACACCTAACTCTTCACAGGATCCCTTGAATAAATCAAACCTGTGCTGTTATGGGATTCACTGTGTGCCTCGAGGTCTAAGTAGCACATGATAAAAGACTGCATTTGGAACTGCCGTGTCCGTAAAGGGAAATCTGTGTGTGCTTATCTGCATGCAAGTTGATGTTTAAAAGTACATGAAAAATGAGGCAAAAACTTGCTACCAAAAATGCCCATGTCCCCCCATAAGTTTCTTCAAATAGCATAAACTAACCCTTTGACTAAGAAAACTTTGTACAAGACCCACATTCTGCCAGACTTCTTGGGCAGCTATATACAACACACAGCATCACTTACAACTCACAGTAAAATAAACTATCTTTACGCCGGAAGCGAGAAGGGACCCACAAAAAAACAAAAAAAAAAAAAGAAACAAGTTTATATAGTCAGTAGTTCCCCTAACACAAATCCAGTGTCCTGGCTTCCAATCCCTCACTCATTCACACACTGAGCTTTTGCTCAATGCCATAGGCTGTCAAAGAGCTCACAGCCTCATGTGGAAGGCAGATTGACAAACCAGCAAATACAATAGGCTAAGAGCTATGATATGAGAGACAACAAAGAGCTATGGAAATGAGAAATGACAGCCTTGGAGGAGATGTCGTGCCCAAGCAGGTCAGCCGGGAAAGAAGGAGGGCATTTCAGGTGAAGGAGGGGGCACGTGCAAAGGTACCGAGGTGGGAGAAGCAAGGCATGCTTGGGAAATGCCAAGTGCTGATGAAGTAAAATAGCCAGAGCACCCAGGGCCTGGATGTGCTGAGGAGCTCCAAGTGCATCTGAGGCTGAGATTTGTTTGCAGGGAAATGACTGAGTTGGATTTCAGTCTCAGAAAGACCTCTCACCATGGTGTGAAGGATGAATTGGGAAGAACCAAATCGGTGGTTAAGAAGCAGCCATGAATCTATAGAGACAAGATTAATGGGTGCCCACGGCTGCAGGGCTGGGGGAGAGAGAGAATGGGAGTGAGTGTAAACGGGCACAAGAGATCTGTCGGGGTGAAGGGAGGTGGTGGACATGCTCCAAAGCTGCATTGTGGTGAGAATGTACAACTCTGTAAGCTTATGAAAAGCTGTTGAATTGTACATTAAACATGAGCACAGTTTATTGTATATAAACTATACCTCAGTAAAGCACTTAGAAGAGAAGAGAAGCAATTGTAGAGACTGAAGTATCCTATGCAAGAATGGATGAGGACCTGGAGTCGAGATATGGAATTCACTGTGGAGAATGGGTGGACGAGAGGAAGCTCAGGTTTGAGAAGCCAAGTTGGAGGTACCTATGGAACCTACACCTGAGCAGGGTTTCTCAAACTCTGCCTTTCGGACTCTGGGGGCAGGTAATTCTTGTGGGAGCCATTCTGTGCATTGTACGATGTTTACCTGCACCAATGACCTCTAACCACTATATGCCAATAGCATCCCCGACCCCCAGCATAGCAACCAAAAATGTCTCCATTGTCAGAGGTCCTTGTGGGACAAAACTGTCCCAGTTGAGAACCATTCACTGAGAGAGGAAGATCCTATCTCATGGTTTTTGTTCCTTATTTTTCAGAGATGTAATTCACACACCATGAAATTCACTATTTTAAAGTGTACAGTTCAGTGCCCCTTAATACAAAATTGTGCTACCATTATCAAAATGTAGACCATTCTCATCGCCCCAAAAAGAAACTCTGTACCTATGAGCACTCACTTCCCACTTTCCCTTCTGCCCTGGGGCCTGGAAAACCACTCATCTACTCTGTCTCCATGGACTTGCCTATTCCTGACATTTCATGCAGAATCATACAGCACGTGGCCTTTGTGTCTGGCTTCTTTCACTTGGCACAGTGTTTTCAAGGTCCATCCACGTTGTAGCACATGTCGGTATCTCGTTCCTTCTACGGCCAGTCTCCCAGTGTATGGACCTTCCAGTCTGTTTCTGTCATCATCAGGGGCAGGGCATCCGGATTGTTTCCACTTTTTTGCTATTACGAATCATGCTGCTATGAACACTCAAGTACAAGCTCTGGCACACACATATGTTTCCATTTTTCTTGAGGAGAGAGCTAGGAGTGGAATTGCTGGGTCATGTGGTAACTCCATGCTTGCCCCTTTGAGGAACTGCCAAACAAATTTTCCAAGTGGCCAAACCATTTTCTATTCCCTGGCAGCACTGTATGAGGGTTTAAACTTCTCCACACGCTCAACATCACTTGTGATTGCCCTTCACTCATATTTTTTTTGTTTCAAGTTTCCAAGCGAGCACTTAATATTAGGCTACATTGTCTATGACAACTTTGTAGATGAGAAAACTAATGGTCAGAGGGTGACTTAAATGAGCCATGCTTATTAGAGGTCAGTGAAGTCCTTTCCAGCATTAATATTTATTATTCTGTGTTGAAAACTGCATAATTAACTTCAACACTGTACTGGCAGTTTGGCACATGATCTGTTTGGGCTGATTCTTAATTTTCAGAGAATCACCACGTCTACGCTCTCTTCCCCTTTAAACTATTCTAAGAAATCAATCACGTAACAAGCGTCCCACCTCATTCGTGCATCATTACTTTTTCCCTCTTTATTTGATCATGCCATGTCCATCAACGTAGCCCCGTAATATCTCTCAACTTAAAAACATAAATAAAACCTCCCTGGACCCCATATGCCCTGCCGGTATGTGTTCCATTTGTCTGTTCTTTTGCAGTGAAACTCCTGGAGACGTATCCCCACGTATCACTTCCAATTTCTCTCCTCCCCTTCTCTCACTCTCAGTCTCACTTCCAATACTCCATCCGAATACTGGAGTGGGGGATACACGGCCATTTACGTGGCCAAATCCCCAAATGATTCATTCTCAGCCCTTCTATTACTCACTTTATCAGTAGCTCTGATACCAATCAATGACTGTTCTGTCCTTAAAACACTGTCTTCCTGTGGCTTCTGAGACACCACTGCCATGTCTGCCCCTCACTGGTCACTCTTCCTCGGTGCTCTTTGCTGGTTCTGCCTCATCTTCTCAACCACCAAAAGTCAGAGGAACACACGGCTTGGAACTGGACCCCCTCCCCCATGCACTAGGCATCTCAAATAAACTCCTGATTTGTTTCCCCCCAAATCTCTCATGATTTCCCCCAGAGGGTGAGTGGTAATTCCTTTCCTCCACGTTGTCCACCAGCCTTGAAGTCACCCTGGAGTCCTGCCGTTCTCTCCTCAGTTAGCAGCTCTCTGACATCCAGGGTCTGACCACTCCTCGCGTCCTTCGTCAAGCCGCCGCTGGGGTTTAACTGGATTTGTCTGTAAGGCCCGTTTTCCCCATCAATCGATTGTTCACTGAATGACTGGGAAGACGCAAACACTCCAAAAATGGGTTATCAGCATAGAAATTTATTTGAATTCAAAATAATATTGTTCTATTTAGACTATAATTATCTAAAGCAATTATCATTCAGTGGCTCTGAAACAGGTCTAAAGACGTCATCCTTTTGAAGTCAAAAATATGTAAGAAGAATGTACAAGGAAGGAAAAATATAAAAAACAAGTTTACTGAGTATCGGGAATTGTTACAAGAGGGACGCACTCAGATACTATAATGGAGTCCAAATTATGAAACACACACCAAGGCGTTCTTTCACTTCAGCCATCCCCTGGAAAATAGCTCAGTAGCCTCAGTGACGCGAGAAGACCCCCACTCGGGCGTCACAGGGTCAACTTCCTGAGGGACATGGGTAGTTACTCACTATACTTCCCCTTTCTGTAACTCCTTTCCTCAAACGATTTCTTTTTTTTCCCCTTTAAGACTGGTTTCATGCTTATGAGAAACTTTTGGTTTTATTTGTAAACTGGAGCGAACATCCTGATTGAAGTAGTCAACGATGGAGTTGAAGATGCGCAGGATCAAACTTTTGAAATGGGTCAATCGGCCGTTTAACAGAGACCATTGGGGAGTAACAGAAAAAAAATCAGATACCGTATACTTGCTAAATAGATACAAAGAATATGCAGGAGAAAATGGGTGAAAAACCCATTCCATGGTGACCTAGACAATCAAAAGCAGACAGGTGACCTTTGATTAAACTCATTGAGCTTGTGGAAGCTCCGAGTCACAGCTGGGTTTCCACAGTGTCCACGGCCCCAGTGCCAGCTCAGAAGGTCTCCTCCTCTCGCAGATACTGGAACACGGACGAGAAGTCTTTCTTTGCGTAGCCCTTTGCGCACATCATCCTGTAGATCTGATGGGCTTGACTGCCCAGCAGGATTGGGCTCTTCGTGCTGGTGGCAGAGTCTTGTGCTAATCCCAGATCCTAAGTCAAACAAGGGCAGGAGAACACAGTGAGACCGGCAGGCAAGGCGCACTTTGGAACTGCGGCTCCTAATGCTTTGGTTTCAAAGAAGGACAAATGAAGAAAAAAAGAAGATACTTACAAACTCTGCAGTAAACTGTGTATGTACTTTATAAGTGCTTTCATAGAATTACAAAACTGCTCCAGCTCTGATTTGAGTGTCCTCTCCACTCCTCCTCCCTCCCCCAGACTTTGCACGCGGGTTACTCCACAGGTGAGATCACACAAATGCTTTTCCAACTCTGCAGAAGCCCGAAAGCCCAAACCAAACCCCATTTTGGAATCATCAGCTATCCATTCAATCTCTTATTCAGCAAATATTTAGCAATTCCTATGTGTGGGGCGTGGTGCTGAGTGCTGGTGACACCAAGTCACTACTCTCATGGGTCTTACTGCCCAGTGGGATAGACAACAAAAACAGATACTAACATTCCACCCAATGACACGTGCTGTGAAGAAAAATAAAGCAGAGCGAGGGGTTACAATGTGATGCATGGTAAGGGGGTGGGGTGAGAGAAAGAGTTCTGATGCACCAAATGTGTAGGGAAGACCTCCCCCACCCGAAGACACTGGACCTCAGGCCCCAACGCTAGGGAGGCAGACTTCTCTGGAGAGCTGGGGAAGAGCATTTGGGGCAGATGGAATGGTAGGGTCAAGGTCCTGCGGTGGGCAGATGGAATGGTGTGAACAGTCAAAAAATAACATGAAGGTCAATGAGGCAGAGCTAGAGTGAGCGAAGGGGCCAGGGAGGGAAGTACATAAGACGGGAAGGGCAGGGGAGCAACACAGAAGCGTCAGTGTCTGGATTTTAAGTGCAAGGAAACAATCGTCTTCACAACAACCCTGTAACATCTCTTAGACCTAATGCTTCATCCTGCAAGTTTCAGAAAACTTACGGCTATTTGAAAATAGACAAAGTTAACATTATAAATCTTGTATTGTTAAACTGTAGCTAATGGATACCCACGACCATAAAAATGAAATCTTGTCCAAAATTGAATTACCTGGGGTGCACAGAAGATAATGGGGGTACAGGTAATTGAAACAAGATCCCCCTTATTTCATTCACTTGTGATGGTAAGAGCTGCAAACAAGTAGCAAGACCAACTAGATTTTTCTCCTTACCATTACCACGCTATTTCCCTCACTCAGGGCAAAGTCAACAAGCAAAGAAAGGGGAGACAAGAAGCAAGATGAGAACTGTTTCTACTCTTTGAAGAACATCCTCGAAAATGGGGCAATTACTGATACCATCTACTCAAGAGAGAGAATGATTCAAAATAAAAACAGGCAAAGGTTAAAGAATGAATGAAATCTCTAGCTTCGTAAATATGTATGATACCACAGGCACAAATATTATTTTGTATTTATTTGAATAATTTTCACATGTAAACACATAGATTTAGAAAATCTACTTAACCTTGAATTCTTCTACATCTTCGACTAAAAAAACCAGTTTAATTATCACCCACACAACGAATGAGTGTGGATGGCTCCATGGTTGCTCATGACCCGACAAACAGACAAGCCTCTTTTGTCGACATCATTCAGTGGCACATCTGTGAGACGCTTTTAAAGGACCAAGACAAATATACACAGAAAGATAGCCCTTAATTTTTAACTCATTGATAGAATTAGAATATAAGAACTCAGAAAAACAACACAACAAGAAGACAACCCTGGGGGGGGGGCAGAAAACCTGTTAAGGCTTTTTCAAAGAGGTAAGTAAATTATTCCCCCAAATAAGAGTTCATAAAACCAAAACAAGGGGAATGAAAATGCTTTGGTAGCTGCGATCTGAAAGGATGAACATTCTGAAGATGGAACGGCAGCCTCTCAGTCCTGTCCGTCAGGGACACAGGTATGTTGGGGAGGTGCCAGGAGTCGTCGTCATGGTTTCCCAAAAGTTGTTTCTGAATGCCCATGAGTAACAGACCTCGAGGCTGGGGGCTCAGGAGAATGATCTAGTTTCTGTACTGACTGTGTTTTCTGACTACATACGTACGTCAGAATTTTATCATGTTAAGATCTAGAAATAAATGTCCAAGTCCCTACTTTCACGGCCTGCTAGCATCATATCCCAGGGCACAAGGACATTCCCTGGCAGTTAAGCACAACATCTCTTAGTAAAGTAGAGCCTGATCTGCCCAGGAAGGTACAACTGCTTTCATCACTGCAGCACTGATGGGGATTTCATCCATCTCCATCAATTTGTCTGTACAACTCTAACTGGCTCAGGTGTGTTCTTGCTAACAGCTCTCTGAGGTGGTGAAAGACTTTTTTAAAAGTTCCTTTCTAAGTCCTCTTGTCCGAAGCAACATTAAGACGGGTTCCTCTTTGTAAGGTGAATGACAGCTGCATTTCACAGAGGAAACGAAAATAAAACAGAAAGTAGTATCCGTATGTTTTACTACAGTATTGTCTATGCTACTAGTTGAAAAAGCTACCTTTTATTATCCCGAAGATCACAGCAGTTCCCTCCTGGGCAGGGACCCTGGAGAAGTGTGGCTAAGGCAAAGGCGTCCAGCGGAGTGGAGGGCGGCTCCGGGGAACAGGGCCCAGACAGAGCCAGCATTTCGGAAGGACGGCTGCGCCACTCCATGCCCTCTGGTGGGAAGCCTGCTACCTCTCATTTCACTTTACTTGTTAGCGGTTTCCTCTGCTGGAGCCCTTAGCAGTGTTTTAGGAACCAAATAAGCTAACAGGTCACGACCCACTCATACAGACGCAGAAAGGAAAGTGGGCATAAACGTGCCTCTTTCATTCGTCCCGGTGCCTAACAAATCACCCTGTGGTGCTGATGAGAACAATGCACCCAAGGAGCTCCTTCCTGTTTCCATCCACAGCCACACAGCACCATGATTAAAGGAGGATACGCAGACCTAAACACCAGGGCCAAAATGGCCTAGAAGTATTTTCTAAGATGAAACATGAGAAGAAACAAAACCGTAAAACAGGAAACACGGAAACGAAACGAGAAGCATCAAACGCTGCTTCATGCACTAGACACCTGAAGTGCCAGGCAGAGTGCCAGGAGCAGAGCAGAGGGGCGAGGAAGGCTGAGCCGGGCAAAGGCTCAGTGACAGAGGACTCGGGGCCGAAGCAGAGAGGGGAGCAAAGCTGAGCCGGTGAGGATGGCGGAGGCCTAGTCACTGAGGGCCCAGGAGGACCGCCTGTGGACCGGGGCTTTAATCTATCTACCAGGAGCTGGAACCATGAAAGCAACGAAATAGGAAAAAACGTCATCATAAGGTTTTTACATGTCAGGAAGCTCATGTTTCCCTGAGATGGCAAATGAACACGAGAAGACGAGGATGAAAGGCAGGAGACCAGGCACGAGCGGATGTGTGCTGTCGCCTGGGTGAGGCTCGGCCGAGGTACCGGTTGTGGCAGAAGAGGGAATGGAGGACTCAGGGCGTCGTGATGAGCAGGACAGGCAACACCGCGGGGGAGGAAGGAGTGAGCATGTATCCAGGGGTGGGCACTGTTACTTTGGTAATCAGGAAAAAAATGTTAATTGGGGGAGGTGGGTACAAGCTCTATGCCGAAATCCGAAATTCTGTTCATCTGTGCAGCATTTCCTAAAGCTGAGATCACAAGTGAGAAGAGGCCAAGCTTGCTTTTCAAGTGACTGTACCCATAAACACATATTCCTAACCCAGAACGATGTACGCAGACATCCAGTATCGTGAGGAAGAGCCTCTCTCCGTGGTGTGTGCATCCCATGCCAACGTATTAGTGACCATCGGAAAATTCCTACTGCTTCCCTTCGAAGGGTTTGGTAGATTAACGTAAATTCTTGATGAAGGACAAAATTTTACTAGCTCAGATTATAAAAACCCAAGCACAAAAGAAAAATCCCAGCCCATTCCTCTCATTTGAAAAGTCAGTAACAAAAATGAATACAATAAGGATTTTTATCTAAGTTTTAACTCCTTTCTAGCAAGTAAGTGAATCATTATTTCGGTAATTTGCCTTGTAGGATTTTGCTTTTCATGTCTACATGCTTTGTTAAAGGTGGGGGGGGGGCGGAGAGTGGGGAGACAGGGATGGAGGGAGGGGAGGAGAATCACACCATGAAACACCCCGACCTCGGGCAGCCTCTGCATTTGCCATACCTTAGCCATGAGCGTTGATCCGAATCCGCCCTGATAGTTGTTAGCCGAGGGGACGCCATCCATCACTCCAGGGACAGGGTTGTAAGTGTCACTTGACCAACACCGTCCTGAGCTCATATTTAGGATTTTAGCCAACAGTTTTGGGTCAAGCCCTAACCTGTCAAAGGTCAAAGAAAAGAAGTGTTAAATGTCAAAATGTGCAAGTCATGCGTGACGTATCTATGAGTGAGGACACTCTGTCCTCTGTCTCCATTTATTATATGTCTTCAAAAATCAAAGCAGATTGATGAAAGTGAAAAATCCAATCTTAAATTATAAGGTATTAAAAGCAAGTGATTTAACAATTCTGACAGTCTGCAATGAAAGGAAACCTGCATCGCCCCACTTAAGAAATAACACACAATCACATAAAAGTGTTGTTGGTGAATCACATGCAGTTTTTCTGTGGAAAAACAAACATCCTCCGTTGACCATTATGCATTTATATGTCACACAGAACCTGACACTCTTATGATCATCTAGATTCTGCATTCTCTTTTCACAAATGATGTATTTCAGAAAGGAGGACTGACAAATAAACCATGCCCCATGTGAGCCTGTGTGGACACATTCATTTCTGTTTGCTCTTTTATCTTTTCTGAGAATCAATGCAGGAGATGAGCCACGAGCAAGCAGTACAATGAGCTTAAGAGAAGTTATCATCATAGAAGACATTTCTTGCTGCAAACTTTTCCTTATTCATTAAATCTTCATCAGACAATCCTGCTTATGAAGCAAGTCTGCACAGAGTTGTGACACATGCTATCTACTCCCAGACATGCACCACAGTTCTGGGTCAACTGCTGATAAGGTTACTGATCCTGATAAAACAAAGCTTGCCCAAGCGGAAACATCATTTGTTCTATCACCGAGCTGATGGCATAAATGGCTGTTCGATGTGGACCCAGGGAAAAAAAAGAATCAAAATGCTGTATGACTTTGATCCTCAGTCTCTTACTGCAGTTTGGGAAGCATAGTTTTGCTAAGTATCACTAAATCAAGATTCAAATAAAATTTGCTTTTTCTTAAAACCAATCTCTTCCACAGTTTTTTTTAAAAGGTTGAAGAAAGACACATATGGACGTTACACCATATAGGAGACCATTCTGCGTGGCGTGGGCCCAGCCTCCAGTGCCAAACATTCACTGCAAAGTAACTTCCTAAAATCCCTGCTAAACCTTCCAAGGACGAGCGTAACTGGTTCAACCACTCTGCCCTTTTCATCTGCAAATATCCCTCTTTTGTGATGTGATTAGCGGCACTGGCTCCTTTGTTTTCTGTAAAAGGTAACCACCTAAAGCAACCAGTGCATAGTAAATGAGGACCATCCTGTAATGTGCCCAGAGGTAGAAATAAAGGCCTGTCATCGTGGAGACCAAGGCTTTTGCTCCCCTTGAGAGAAAAGCCACGCTGTCCCTTTTCCACCGCAGGACTCGGTAGTCCGTGTGAATGTCTCATTTCATCCATAATGACGTGGACACCAACTGTACATTTTGGCACGTTTAGGTTCTTGTTTATTTGTTCCAGATATATGCACGCTGACTTCAAATCTGAATATCATGACCAGTGAACACTTTTCTAATGTTAGCACAGGGGCCTTGGGCTGATAGCCAGGATGCATGTGGACTTACTGTGTAACGTAACTGTTCTGTAATACCATTTGGCATGCCATGTACATGAATTCACATGGTGGATCATGTTACAGTGAGGCTTTTTCCTAAGGAGCCTAAGAGACATAAAAGATCCACTCTAGATTGGCTATCACACATTCTCTTCAACCGTAGACTGCTGGGAAAAATACCAGCAGTTTCATTCATTCTTTCCTAAAGATTCAAGTTTGTTACATGTATAGTTGCTACTGATACTTTCCCCTATTAAATAAAATCGGGCTATCCATATGCTGCTGCAGCAGATGACTCAGGAAAAGAAAAAGCCAATGTGTTTAGGCAAGAACTGTGAGAAGTAAAATCATGAATTAATAATTAGACAATTTGCTATAATTGCAAGTATGTTCTCTAAGCACAAATATTGAAGAATCTGTATGTCTAATGTGTTCCATGAGCAGGGAATACTTTCAAAGATCTGAAAATACTGCCTTTCCCTTTCATTTGAAATATAATTTAGGGGCTTCCTAATTTAGATTCTTTAAAAATGGTTTATCATATTTCAAGCTACATAGTTACTCCCCTCTTTATAATCCATCAGGTTACACTTAACAGTCCCTTACAACCATCTTTATTACCAGAGACATTCACACCCCATCTGTAATACCAAAATGATGAGCAAAGCTTATCATCCTTTGTAAACCCTGAAACTTCATTTTTCCTCTAATGTTCAAGGAAAAATACTGGCACTAATTTCTGGAATCCTTTTTGGTAAACACATTGCTACTTAGAAGCTTCCTGAGGGGCACAGGGGAAAAAAGAGGTGGCAGTTGCTATGTGCTCACTTTTCAATCCGATGCCTCCCACCAAGCCGCTTCCCCTTCCAGAAAGCTACCCCCTCTCCACTTTGCCTCCACTCTCCACCCTGCAGCAAAGTGCATCATTAAAAAGAGCAAGTTAGAAGTGTTTTGCATTTCATCTTTCTGAGGATTCTTTCCCTGGCACATATATAACTGACAGTTAAAATTAGACATGATATTAAAATCAGTTACTGAAGTCCTCTGTCTTCCACTGTGCCCAAAGCTTGTAATGGTCTGAAACCAGCTAGAATACACAGTAATTGTCATTCAGAGAGTCTATCCTAGAACGTCATGCTTCACTGGAGAAGACTGAGTTTCCATCTGAAATCAACAAATTAATCCAAGACAGGTATCTGAAAGGGCAAGTTTAATAGGAAGCAGCTACTGGGCTCTCAACCATGATAAAATGTTATTGCTGTTTCCCTGTAAATTGGCTGGGAACATATGATACTTTCTGCATAAGAGCCCCATTGCTGCTCAGGAGATATACAGCTCAAGCCATCAAAAGGATGACAGTCTGTCAGTCCCCATAATAACTTGCCACTGGATGTGGTTCGAGAGTGCACGCATGCACGCATGTGGCTTTACGATTGCTGGAATGTTCTCTGATATAAACAGAATGAATTCATTGCTCTGACCGCATATATAATGCAATTCAAATAAACGTCACTGTGTCAAATCTACTCACCTTTAAAACACAAGAATTTTAAATGAACTATTGGGAGAAATAAAAATGCAGAAACTGTAAAAAATTTAAAGACCATCCAAACGTTTACCTTCGCTGTAGCCAAGGCTTTTAAGGGCCAAGTAAGTCTGTTCCCTTTATATTCTCGGTAAGTATCCACCTATACTTTTTGGTTTTACATCAGAACAAAGCAAGTAACGTCACTAAACTGAGAGGCTCATACACAGGAACAGCTCTAGATGGGACATGTCTGAAACTATGTCGATCTTAGTCAATCATCCAGTCAGTCACCAAATGCTCACACAGATCTGCCAAGGAGACCACAGTAAAGAAGCTAAGACTAAATGGTAATGCAAAACCAAAAATACAATAAAAATTTTTTTAACTTCCAACAGCTGGGGTGGGGGAGGGGGTGGGAGGAGAAGCTAAGGAGCTGTGCCCACCTCCACCAGTGGGCCAGTGAAGCTACTCGTCCAGATACTTTTACCTGAGGCAGGAGAAGTGCCTGCCTCCCTTACTCCCTCATCCACTTGACAAATCTTCAGGGCGCCAACTACATGCTAAGTATGTTCTTAAGATATGGCAGTGAGCAGACAAAGCCACCCCCCTTCATGGAGCTTGCGTTCCAGTTAGGAAGATGCAATCAATGAAAATATAATGCCAGCTAGTGAGTAGTGTTATGAAGAAAAAGCATCCCAGTGCGATTCAATTCAATTACTAACCACCAGCACCATCACATCGATCACTACCATGTATTGAGCGCCTACTACATGCCAGGATCTGTTTTAAAAGATTTACATGAAGCAACTCATTTAATCTGAACAACAACCCTAGCGATAGATGCTATTATTTCTGTCATGTCATTGATGAGAAAAGTTTAGGTTTACAGTAGAGCAGGAATGCAGACATAAATCGACACCCAAATTCACACAATCCTGAGTCTTGCTGGATCGTGTGGGTAGTAAATTTGATAGCCAATCAGCCAACCTGATGGCATTTTATCAGCTTATTAAGAAATTCGGTCAAACTTTTACTACGAACCTTTTGTCATTTATTAAATCTACTAGGGCATATACTTAAGGGCTTCAGTCATCACCTGACAAAGAAACCGACAACAACTTCTATAGGCAGCAGCCACGACACTGCAACTACGCTTGTGGGAAAGCGTGCGTCTTGCACGGCCTTCCAGAAGTTCAACTGCTCATTAAGCATTAGGTGGAAAAAGACAAGACGGGTGTTGCCGAAGGGGCCTGAGGCCTGGTTGGTAATGCAAATAACTTCTACCACCACTATCGAAAACGATAAAACAAAAAGAATTCCCAGTGGAGCAAAACTAAAAACAAAGTAACACAACTCGCATTATTGATGCTGTTCCTCTGCAATGCACAGGAACAAAAAAACTCTCCAACACAAGCAGGGCACTGTGAGCGCCATGGAGCTGTGTTCTGAGTCCCCATGAGAGCCCAATTAGAAGGCAGAACGGTCTCATAAAAAAGAATCCTGAAATATGTTGTATACCAATATTTTTTATGGTTTACTTTTTTATAGCATTTTAAACTTTCACTAACATCCATAAAGACTCACTGTAAAAGATCATAGAGTCAATAAGAGTTTTAAACTGTAAGAGTTTATTCTTCTCTTAAAAAAAAAAGGAAATATCAGTGTTCTGGAAAAACAGACTTAGGAGAATGAAACTAATCAGAAATGATCACTCCATAGGAACAGGTGACTCAATTTGTGAATGTTGACATTAACGCCCTAAAAAAACTCTCACCACTTTGGAGTGAACAGAATATAAATGTGGCTGAAGCACTTCGATGCTATACCGCTTTGTGGGAATTTACTACTTGGGAATTTATGTTTGCTGATGCCAATTTTCTCTTTCACCTTGCAAAGCTCAGTAAATTGTGGCTGCTCTCTATACCCTATTAGAGAGCAATCCTGTCATTTTCGACCACGTCTGTAAACCATGAGCAAAGACAATGGCAGAAGCAATCATTCCTAGAACTTTCCAACCACTGAGAATCTTCGTAAGATAAATAATAAAATCCTAATATTATAAAAATTATTAATATAATCTGAAGCACTGAAAACATATAGGTCATTATAATAATTAAGTAAAACTAGTGAGTTCCTGCTCTGTGTTCAAACATAAGTGTATACAGTAATGCAGATAGAGTTTTGGGAAAAAAATGAAGCATTTGAAAGTTTCATACTTCTAAATATTGTTTTTATCATAGTGGATCAAGGCCAGCGACAAGATAAAATGTATTTATTGCTTCTGCTTTTAACATTTCCATTTGAAACTGTATCACTTTTCGTATTTTCTTTGATAAACCACTCTAGTACCTAATGTACACATTTCATTCAATTCATTTGATTCAACTGATTTTCATCCTGTTCTTTATTAGCTGGTATCTGGAGTTGGACTTCCACAAGCATTTACCATACAAAAACTTCATTTTCAAAGGGCAAATGACCATCTCCTAAGGGTTTTGCCAGGAAAATCCTCTGTGGAATGCCAGAGGACAGGTCCTCACTGTGCCCAGGGAACATCCCCATCAGTGACACCTCAGGGCAGCAGCTGGACGTGCACACTCAGGCACAGATAAAGAGGGAAGTTTCAGTACGACCTCACCTGGGTTCATCTAGGCTTTTACACTTCTACAATGTTTTCATTTATATCCAGAATAATAAAAATAAAATTATATAGATGCACATGTATATTAATGCTCTAATCCTACTGTCAACACCAATTAAATTTTGTATGCAATTTTGGTTTCAGAAATTTACATTTTCTTCTAGGAAATTAGTCTAGAGGATGGACATGTAAACAAGTCATTAGTAACCAGTTTTTCAATTATAATAAGTGACCCATAGCCTAAAATTGGCTACGACAGAGAACAATGAATAGCTTCCTATATACACTACCAGTTTTATTAAAGCTTTGTACAGATATGCTAAGCTTACCATCTTAGAGACATTCAATTTTAAAATGTAAATGGTACAGGATATTGATAAACCAATTAGCGCTGATGCAAAGCAAATTCCTCTTTTATCTCAATTACAACATGACAACTTAATAGGTCAAGACAGTTTAACATCTGAGACAAGGACAATTCAATAAAACAATAGTATCTTGATATGGTAATTAAGGGAAAATGTGAATCCATTACTATGTTTTAAAAAATACCTCAAGTACTTTGGTTCTTTTTATTGCTTCTATCAAAAGCTGTGATATGAAACACCAGTGTGATCTGTGATCTATTTGGTGTGTAGTTTTGGAAAGTGTGAAACAAACATGTGAATAAAACATCTTGCTCTCTAAGCATTTTTTAAAGTAAGAGACATATATTTATTATATTCATGAAATCCAAACATTATAAAACTAGGTAGTTAATCACATGTAGCATTCCTAACCCCCCAAATTACAGGCTAAAATTTAGACATTAACCTTCAGCATTCCAAGGGAAGAACAGTGTCGGAGGGCAAACAGGGCTCCTGAGGTGCTTTAAGCAAAGTGTGGAAGCCACTTTATTTTAGTGGAAAGATACAGCTTTAACGTCAAGTGACAAAGCCACAGGTACGCACAGGAGTTGCAGCTTCATAAATGCCATCCAGCTTAAGCAATAAGCAACCAAGAGCCCTTTTAGTGTAGATTTTGGAGACTGTATTTAAAATAGACACACAAAACAAGGAACGTGGTGACGTAACGCTTGAATTCACTGTATATTAAAACCACGTTTTATAGAAATCTGTCCTACATGGTCAAAGCATGTTTAAACTATATAGTAAATGTGTTTCTTGCATCTCAACATCATAGAAGAAATGGGGCTTCCACATAAAAAGGATAATGAAGCTTCGGACATACAGTGCGTGCAGTACACTTGACGGCCATGGCAGAGAGTACTCTCCCTCTCCAGGGTGCCACGAGTCATCAAATAAGCGAACTCTATTAATGTTCAATAATGAAGTACTTTCAAACATTCCTGGATCCACTTATTTACCTCTCATAAACTTTTTTTTCGACATCAAAAAAATCAAATGGAAAAGTTCATTTGATTAGCACGGAAGAAAGAAAAAGAGAAAAAAAATACTGTGAGTACATGAAAATGTACTGTTCAACAAACCTGATCCCAAGATTCATGGCTTCAGCAGTTCCAATCATAGTAATAGCTAACAGCATGTTGTTGCAGATCTTTGCGGCCTGAAAACAAATCAAGTACATATTGAATATTTTTATTTTCGAGTTATAACTCACAGGAAGTTTTTTATCGCCCAGTTCCACGTGCTTTTTGCTAGAAGAGAGAGCATCGGACAGCTGATTCTCCACAATGGGGAAGGGAACAGGGTGCCACAGGCTTCCCTCGGAGCCTAACGTGTCATCCCACGGCAGGGGCCAGGGGCTCCTCTACCACTAGGTGGGAGCCCACAGAGCTCCTCCTGCGGGCTCAGCCTGATCAGGATACTGATCTACAGGGCGTGACCTCTCTTTAAGGGGTGAGGCTTATATTCTAATTGGTGAAACAGGAATAACGCACTGAAGGAGAAGGCAATGGACAGACAAAAACAATGATGTGTTATCTTGTCCTGGTAGAAGCTATCGGACACAGACAGTGGCAGTTCCAAGAAACAAGGTCACTGAGGGAAGGGGCAGAGAGGAAGTGGAACCTCAAACCCTTTCTCAGGGCCAGGCAGGATTTAATTAGGCAAAGAGAGAGAAAGGAGGAGAGCTGGGGGGTGTGGGGGAAAGGTAAATATGTAAGAGCATGGGATGTTTCTGAGAACAGGAAAAAAAAGGACTCCTGTGCGCATATTTTCAGAAATGGCAAGAAATCTGATGGTAAAGACTGGGGCAAGAGCTATGAAAGCTACGGAAGGTGGAGAGTTGAAATGTGACATGATGGGAAACAGGGATCTGTTCAAAGGTTCAGAATGGGAGGCATCATGACGATACAAGCACCCTGATGGAGTTGGTTTCCATGGAGTGGGGCAGAGTGGTGAACCCGGGATCAGAGACCCATGAGCCTCTGTGCAGTAAACGAGGTGTGAGACAGAGAGAAAGACTGGATTAGGGAACGCCTATCTGGAATGGACAAGACAGGCCACGATGAGAGCTGCTGAAGCAAAAATCAATAGAACTAGAAGACCGGACACAGGGATTGAAACAACAGACATATCAAAGACCATACCACAGTCTTGAGTTAGGATCAAGCAGGTGCCCGTGGCCAGGACGAAGCACTAAGAGGAATGAGTGTGTGTGTGTGTCTCCTGGGTGACAGAGGGACAACCAGCTTGATTTCAGAGTCCTGAACTTTCACTCACCTCTATCTGATCAGAAAGTTCATGGAACATATTCCTAAGTGAAAACTTTTTGGTTTTCAAGAAAAAGATTCAGGCGCACAGATTATATCTACCTGAGTCTACTGCAAATGAAGCTATAGCAAGTCATTAGAAAATCAGAAGGAAGAAAATAGCAACTCAGAACACATGGGTACTACAATAGAAACAGTTTTAAGGATGATCTCAGTGGTCACTGGGCTGGTAAGTCAAAATCTGAACGATGGAACTTGGTATCTTTTTTTATAAGTTTACTGATTGAGATCTGCTTAATTCCAACAGGAATGAAGGCAAATTAACTGAATCCAAATTAGTTGAAGAAAATTTGAGCAAACAAAGAGTGCACAGATTAAACAGGGGAAGGAGGAGTGAGAACACAGTCAGGAGTGAGAAATGAATGATTCCGCACCACAGGTCGGGCTTACTAACAGGCAAGCGTTACCTGCCCGGTCCCAACAGCGCCGCAGTACACCACGTTGGCGCCCATGCAGCCCAGCAGCTCCTGGGCTGCAGCAAATTCCTCTTCGACTCCTCCCACCATGAACGTGAGGTTCCCAGACCGAGCGGCTCCCACACCTGAATGGTTTGGGGAAAAGGGAAAGTAAAATTAAATTAGACACAATCCCCAAACCAAATGAAAACATCTTGCTTCCAAATTACATTTGTCAGACATGTGCAGAATACTCTAAATTTCTCCTGGAATATTTTAATAATCAAGTACAATATTATGTAGGTTAATCATAAACCAAAGGGACTTACAGATTTACTCAAACTCTCAATTTGTCTTAAATATTTTGGCACAATCATGGACTACAGGAATGAGAATTTGAAATGTGAATTTTATCATTCCCATGCATCTCTCGTTCTCCTAAAAAATGTGCTCAGGAACAGAAAGTATCTGGAAAAGGTCACCTGTGTCCTGACCAGCGTGGGGGGCAGCCGGAGGAGTGTACTGCCCAAGTGTGAATTTGGGGTCTCTGGCTCACTCCCTTGCTCTCCACACACGAGCTACAGAAGAGACCTACAGAGACCCCACCCTTTCTCCCAAAACAAGTAGGCATTTCAGTAAGAAAATGGTCGCTTATTTAGACTGACTACTCTGGTGTGCACTTTCCAATATTATTTGATTTTTCTTTTCCCTCCTGCTATCCACCTTGTGGGCAAATCATTCCTAGTGATGTGAACAGGAAGAACGAATAAACTTCTACACTGGTTTGGCCATTCCTTAGCATGGTTTCACAGGGGTCTGGTGCATGTTCATTCATTGAAACAATCGAAGAAAAACAACTTCTACTTTAGCACAGACAGTATGGCCTAGACTTATCCTAGAAGGGGCCCATAGGACTTCATTCATCTATGTTTTATTAACTGTAAAATAAAACCAGGACTATTTTACTACTTTTAGTATTACAGAAATTGTAATTAATAATTTTCAAGTTAGGTTTTGTTGTTCAAAACCAGGAAAGTACTTGGAAGAGCTATACTACTCCAGTTTTTGCCTTTAGAACTTATTTTATAGCACAGCCAGGAATAAAGAAACCCTAATTGTCTGCACTGTGAATCAAATCTGGCCATTAGAATAGACAGCTGCAGGTAATGGCCTACTTTTGAATTTAATTTATTCAATGAAATACACAGTTTTTATATGTAAAAAGCTCAAGTGAGCAGAGTCCTATTTCATTCAAATTGTGAATATTTTGCAATTGCCAAATCAAGTAGCCTTTCTATTTTACAGGTCATGCTATTTTTAACTAATTATTAAAAGCAAGAGAAGTCAGCATTATGTTAGCCAAACAATTTTGGAAGAGGGAGTATCCACATGTTATGAAAGGCTGGGATGCTCATACGTATGGTAAGATTACATTGTTTCATAATATTTTCAGAGGCAGTTTGGAATTCATTATGTCTAAAACCCCAATTATAACAAATGCTTTTAATTAGCCAATCTGTGTCATTTGAATATTCTGATAACACAGACTTTTAAGTGACTATTATTTTCTTAGTTTCTAATTTACCTCAGCAAGATGGTAGATCATTCATGTTTTACAATTATTTTTCTCAATTTCTAAAGCCATTATTATCCAAACCGCACAACCACCCTTACTTCTAATCCTGTTGATCTGACCCAGAGAAATTAGGTAGACAATTTAAGTCGAAGCTTTCAGACAAATTCAGCACTATCCATCATAGGTCAACTGCTTTGTGTCTAGATTACAGACTGCTAAATAGCTTCACAGAGTCATTTATTAAAGGAAAAATTAATGCTGACAATGGTTCTCAGCTGGTTACTCTTTTGACAGGTATACTTTCTCACTTGTTCAAACACATATTTCAAAAAGAAGAAATAAGTTACTTAAGCAAGAGAAGTCCACAAAGGAAAGAATAATTCGTATTTTTATTCAGATGTCTGTAGTATTTCCATTCTTTCTTGCTTTCAGTATGGTGGTATAATTATTTTAATCATAACTTATATTCCACTGTAAGGGTCTGACTAAACTGGCTAATTCTAAAGTTTTGGCATTCCTTGGGACCTAATCTTATCATTCCATACATATTCCTCTGACCATACAACATTATCAAGCCTAGTCCCACTGTAAAGGAAAAATTAAGACCTAAATTATCCTAAAATACACGCAACCATTTTGAGCTTAGAAAATAACATCTAGAAACCCAGGATTCTCAAGCTATGTAAGACTCTTACAGATTATAGAAGACATTGTATACATTTTAATGTTTATAAACAATAATAAATAAACTTATTACATTGTCATGCAATTTTAAATAATTCAAGTCCATTTCCCCAAACAGAAAAACACAGATAGCCCTGGCCACACAGCTCAGTTGGTTATGGCATTGCCCTGATACACGGAGGTTGTGGGTTGGACCTCTGGTCAGGACACATACGAGAATCAACCAATGAATGGATAAAACAAGTGGAACAACAAAATCGATCTCTCTCTCTCTCAAAATTAATTAAAAAATGAAATACACTCTCAGGCAGCTGCTAGAACACTGGGAGAAATATTTATTTTGCTATTTATTTTAGTAATTATATATGCAAACCCAAAATACATCCAGAGCTTCATTCTATTACAACACAATACTTACTGAACTTTATTAAAACCTTTGATTTTGTTACCTGATTCCTCGATTACACTATCTACCCGCACAAGGCCAGCATTGAGGTTTAAGTCAGCATTTCCACTCACGGTCACAGTGCGGGAAACACGCAATAGCTGGCTGTTCGGTAAACAAACTATGAACTAGGTTGGAGTAAAGGATCCAGAATGGAGTATATGCTTAGAGAATGTGCCACTTTCTGGCTGTTATTATAAACATATTACTTAACTTCTCTGAGTCTCAGTGTATAAACATGGGGAAAGTATGAATTACTAACCTCTTTACAGAGTGGCTGTGAATATACAAGGTCTGTCCAGAAAGTATCCAGCCATGTAATATGAAAAACGGAGGCCTTTACTGAAGACACAAGAAACACAGTACATAGGACAATGACACCTCAGTTCCCTTCAAAGTAGGCAACTCAGGACCTCACATAGTTCTCTCAATCCCCATCAGATGCCCCATCATATTTTCCTGAATCTCATTGAATGTCTGACATCCCTTCCTTTCCAAAGGTGATTTTAGTTTTGGGAAAAGCCAGAAGTCATAGGGCACCAAATCTGGGTTATAGGGGGGCTAGGTCACCCGGGTGACTTGATGTTTCACCAAAAAGCTCTGCGCAAGATGTGATGCATGAGCAGGCTTACTGTCGTGATGAAAGTGCCAATCACCGGCTGCTCGTAGCTGTGGCCTTCTGAATCATCCAAATAGTTCCCGCGGGGAATGTTCAAGCTTAACACAAAATCTGATGCAGATCCATTGCTCTACTTGCTCAGTCATTTTGCATGTGATGGCCACACAGTACACATTCACTCAGGGTGTCTACCGCCTCCACTGACTAGTACAGTGAAGTCATCATTGTTCATGCATGGACATTCCAGTCCACTCTCCTTAACTGCCAGGTTACACTGATGTCACGCAAACCATTTTCATTATATTAACAATGGCCAGAATTTTTTCAGACAGACCTCGTATTAACACACGCTATAAAACATAAAATGCTATTTAAGTGTAAGGACTTTACTACTTTATAACTTGAGTTGGTGATGTGGGAGTTTCCCGAGTCCTTTCAAACTTGGTTATCTAAGTCGTTGGCTTCTCTGGGGTAATTTCAGCCTTTCTGGCTAAATATTAGCTGTCTTGGACTGAACCTATTGACAGCAGAAGCAGGCTGGCTCAGGTTAGGAAACACTCAAGTGGTCCACAGCCAGTGATGTTAAGATTACAGTGAAGTCCTGACAGGTGTGGCTCAGTGGCTTGTCATCCTGCAAACCAAAAGTTCATCCATTTGCTTCCCAGTCAGGGCACATGCCTGGGTTACAGGCCAGGACTCATGCTGGGGGCGTGCAAAAGGCAACCAATGGATGTTTCTCTCTCACTTTGATGTTTCTGTCCCTCCCTTTCTCCCCCCTTTTCCCTCTCTCTAAAAAAAAATAAATAAAACCTTTTAAAAAAAGATGACAATGGAGACCACCTGTGAAACCTTCCAATGGCAGCATGGTATATGGAAAAGTGACAAAAATGCTGCTCATTTGGTTTTATTCACTTAAAATTAAACTAAGAATCAAGCCCTGTGGATGAATAGCCTATGTCCCTGCTCCTAAGAAGTGACACATCTGTGGCCCAACCTCTTCTCTCCTCACTACCACCCTGAACTGAGCCATCACTGTCTCTCGCCTGGATTATTCCAACAGCCGCCTTCTTGACCTCCCTTCAGATCTTGCCTCCAGTCTGTGCTCCATACAGCAGCCAGGGGGATCCTTTTAAAACATAATCTAGTTTATCATGTTGCTTCCCTAGTCTCAAGCCTCCAACAGCGTCCCATCCTCTCAGTACAAAATCCCAAATCCTACAAAATCCCACATGATGTGGCCCTTGGCTACCTCTCCTATCTCATTTCATACCATTCTCTTCAATGTTTGCTGTTCTCCAGCCACCCTGGCCTCCTTGCTGTTCCTGACGCAGGTCAAGGACCTCCCTGTCTCAAAGCCATACACTTACTGTTCCTTTTGCCTGAAATATTCTTTCCCGAGATGTTCGTGACTTGTTTCCTTCACTTCACTCAGGTTTCTTCTCAATATTCACCTCTTCGGAGAGGCCTTGCCTGACCAATCGAATAATCTAAAATGGTACCCATCCCTCTCTATCCCCTTTTCCTGCTTTAATTTTGTTCACAGCACTTATCACTTATCACCTGCTTATAAACACCTCTACTCATCTATTTCTGGTCTGTATTCCCCAATGAGAACGAGCTCCATGACAGCAGTGACTCTGCTGGCTCATTCACCCTACCGTCACAGCGTCTGGTACATAAGAGATGCTCAGTAAATACAGTCTTTGTTCAGAGAGAGAGAGAGGCAGCGGCAATGGTGGAGGGAAAAGCAAGGAAGTGTATGACTGCAGAACTGATCTCAGAAACGCACACAAGACGTCAAGGACCAAGAACAAAGCATCTG